TATATATATATATATTATACAATTTCTTTTAGGATTTAGGGTTAGAAATTATTTTTTACAATCAATGAAATTTCACAAAAAAAATATATTGATATTCTCATATTTTGGAAATCACATTAGATTGTTATTCTATGTCATTTAGTGTATCATGTTTTAATCTATATTCGTTAAAATTATCCATTATTATAGAATTCTTATGATTAGAGATTTCAATGAAACTTTATAAGTAAAAATTAAAACTTGGTACATATGAGTGATAATGTGGAATAATAATCAAGTGTGATTATTTTAATATGAGAATATAAAAAATATTTTGTGAAATTTCATGAATTGTAAATGAATTTCTATATTCAAGAACTAAATTACAAAAATATAAAGGATGAAAGACTTAATTACAAACTTTAAAAATTTAATTAAAAATTATAAAAAAAATTAAAATTTTAGTTTAATAACTTAATTAAAAATTATCAAAATAAAATCCATGAAGTAAAGATGTATTAAAACCTACATAATAATTCTTGCAAGGGTGACACAATTATCGACTGATCAAGTCATTTTACTTCTATCAATTAGGATTTGAAATCCAATATGACTTTTCTCATGTTTTAAATTGTTCTTTGTAGATTGACACTCAAGATGGAATAAGCAATCCATATCTCACTCTCTAGCCTTGTATGAAAAGATGTCTTCTCCTAATCTAATTTTTTTTAAAAAATAAATTACATAGTAAATGTTTGTATTAAATATAAACATTAATTAATATTGTGAAAATTTAATTTTATTGACTAAAAACAATAGAAATATTTATACAATATATCTATATTTTGTTAAAATAATAATTATTTATAAGAGTTATAGTCAAAATAAATAGAAAATATATTAAAATTAAATACTTAGACATTTTTAATATTTATGTCCAAGTTTTAGACTTAAAAAAATGAAGATATTTTTTCTTGCTGTCCTTGGATTTGACTCCACAATTAACCGAATTGACTACTGTCCTCACTGAGCGATCATTGGCGCACGAGTCACCCTCTCATTGGCGGACTTCAAGCTCTCATTTCATTCCACTTTAATGTGGCAATAAAATCCACCGTTACCGGTCAACCGGTTCAACCCGCCTTCTCTGTTTGGCAATCCGTTTCAACCCTAGTTTCCCTCCAACCGATCCATCCGGTTCCCGGAGACCCAGTCCAGAGACTTCATTTGGACTTCATTTGGCGTGCATTTCAGTACCATTTGGCATCGCATTTGTTCTTAAATAAATTCGTCCTAAATTACTCTGCATTTCATTTCCATTTCAATTTCTATCTTTCTTTATAGTTTCTAGACGTTACTTTCTCTCTCATCTTAACTCTTCCATGTTTCCTCCGTTTCATCGATGGAGAGTGAAGCCTTAACTCTTCTTACGTCTTCCAGATCTCGTTACTCGCGATTCTTTCATTCTTCGCTTTTTCTCACTTCACATTCGCTGATTCTTTCACTCTCTAATCACCAGCCTCGCCACCACCACCACGTAACCGGTGAATTTCTCTCCCTTGTTCATCATTTTAATCTTAGTTCGTGTTTTATTTATCAGCCATGCGATTAATGTTGTCACGATTTTCCTCTTTGGCTATCACTTGATGAATTAACACGATCATCCTGTGAATTACTTTTTTTTTTTTTTTTTTTTCTCTTAATCATAGTTTGAAAAAAATGGTTGTTCTATGTTTCTTTTCTTTTTACAATTGTTTTGTTGTTTTTTATTTGTCGCTGGCATCGCTTGTTTAGAGATGATTCTAGATTTTGCTCAGATCTGTGTGTGGTTGTGTTTCATTGAGATTGAAGTAATGCATTTTTATATTATTATTTCCGGCTTCTTGTTTGTTGATAATACTTTATTGTGGTTGTTACGCTATCCTGTGATTTTCTATTATTTACTAAATTTGTTGAATAATTTTGTCGTTTATGTCAGTGTTTCCAATCAAGCGTGTTATTTGCTTAATCTGTTGTTAGAATGCAATCAATCTATAGTTAACTTTTTTTTTTTTTTTTTTTCACTTCTAATTGTGTTTGTTCATGCCAAATATAGCTGGTTTTTTTTTTAATATGATGATTTAATGATATAATTGTTTTTTTTCCTATGATTATTGGGGTCCAGTTAATTGAAGGCATGTGAGGTGGTCCAGAGAAATCAAAATCTCCTTCAACTTCATCTTTCTTAGGTGTAAAAGTCACAACTAATGTTAAAGAAATGAAAACACTAACAGTCAATACTGAAGATTCTTTTTCCAGTTTGCTGGAACTTGCTTCTAACAATGACATTGAAGGTTTTAAGCTCCTTTTAGAGAAGGATTCTTCATCTATCAATGAGGTTGGACTCTGGTATGGCCGGCAAAACGGATCAAAGCAATTTGTTCTTGAGCATAGAACCCCGTTGATGGTTGCTGCTACCTATGGTAGCATCGATGTTCTGAAGCTTATACTATTGTGTCCCAAGACAGATGTAAATTTCGCCTGTGGGGCGAATAAAAGCACTGCCCTTCACTGTGCTGCTTCTGGAGGTTCTGCCGGTGCAATTGATGCTGTGAAGCTTCTTTTATCGGCAGGGGCTGATGTGAATTGCGTGGATGCAAATGGGAATCGCCCTATTGATCTAATTGTTGTACCTCCCAAGCTGCAAGGCATGAAACCCATACTTGAGGAACTTCTCTCAGATTCTTCTGATGTGTCAGTTGGTGACTTCTCTGTTCCAGTATCTGTTGATTCATCCAGTCCTATTAATTCATCCAGTCCTGGTTCTCCTGCCCATTCATCGAATGGGTTGCCATACTCTCCTTCAGGCTCACCCCCATCACCAGTGGTGTCGAAGTTTACTGATGCAGCTATTAGCTCTTTGTCAGAAAAGAAGGAATATCCCATTGATCCATCTTTGCCTGATATAAAGAACAGCATATATGCTACTGATGAGTTTAGGATGTTTTCGTTCAAGGTGAGACCTTGTTCCCGGGCATACTCTCATGATTGGACTGAGTGTCCATTTGTTCATCCAGGAGAGAATGCTCGAAGGAGAGACCCCAGGAAGTTCCACTACAGCTGTGTGCCATGCCCTGATTTTAGGAAAGGAGCCTGTAGGCGTGGAGACATGTGTGAGTATGCTCATGGGGTGTTTGAATGTTGGTTGCATCCGGCTCAATATCGGACACGCCTTTGCAAAGATGGTATTAGTTGTAATCGAAGGGTGTGTTTTTTTGCTCACACTGCTGAGGAGCTCCGTCCGTTGTATGTGTCCACTGGATCTGCTGTCCCTTCACCCCGATCATCTACCTCAGCTCCTAATGTCATGGATATGGCTGCAGCCATGAGCCTTTTGCCAGGATCGCCTTCATCAGTCTCTTCCATGTCGCCATCACACTTTGGCCAACCAATGTCCCCATCTGCAAATGGCATGTCACTCTCATCTGCTGCTTGGGCACAGCCAAATGTGCCAGCTCTTCATTTACCAGGAAGCAATCTTCAATCTAGCCGATTGAGGTCTTCTCTCAGTGCCCGTGACATTCCACCTGAAGACTTCAGCACAATGCCTGATCTTGATGGCCAGCAGCACCCTTTGAATGACTTGAGCTGTTTCTTACAGCCTCGCCCTGGTGCTGGTTCGGTGAGTCGATCTGGTCGGTCTAAAACCCTAACTCCATCAAATCTGGAAGATCTCTTTTCTGCTGAGTTTTCTTCATCTCCACGGTATTCTGATCCAGCAGCTGCTTCGGTGTTTTCCCCTACCCACAAATCAGCTGTTCTCAATCAGTTTCAACAGCTTCAAAGTATGTTATCACCTATAAATACTAACTTACTGTCTCCTAAGAATGTTGAGCATCCACTTTTACAGGCTTCCTTTGGTGTCTCTCCTTCTGGAAGGATGTCTCCAAGAAATGTTGAGCCAATTTCTCCGATGAGCAATCGGATATCTGCATTTGCTCAACGTGAGAAACAGCAGCAACAGCTACGCAGCATCAGTTCAAGGGACCTTGGTGCCAACAGTCCTGCCTCGGTTGTTGGCTCCCCCGTAAATCCTTGGTCAAAGTGGGGATCTCCTAATGGAAAAGTTGATTGGTCAGTAAATGGAGATGAGCTTGGTCGTCAGATGCGAAGATCAACCTCCTTTGAGCTTAAAAACAATGGGGAAGAGCCTGATCTATCTTGGGTCCAATCTCTGGTGAAGGAATCTCCACCTGAGATGATCAAAGAGAAGTTTGCCTCTCCTGTGCCTACTGCTGCTGCTGATGGACTGAATTCCAATTCCCAAATTGAACCTACTGATCATTCTGTCTTAGGAGCTTGGCTCGAGCAAATGCAACTGGATCAGCTTGTAGTCTAGGCAAATTGACCCTTTACATCTTGTTGAGATAGGTATTTAATTTCATAAGGTACATATTCTTTTGGTGAAATTTTTTGAAAAGACAACAAGGAGGAAGTGTAGTAAAAGGAAGGAGGGGAGGGTTGGTTGGCCGCAAAGTAACCTGAAGGATATTCTATTTTTTTCTTTTTTAATAATTGTCATTCATTATTTCACTACAGGGCTTCAGGAGAGCTGAAGAGGCTTTCTTGGGGCTGATATTCAATAGGAGAGAAATCCTGTAGAGGTTATCTATTTTTCTTCCAAAACGGCCTTGTCATGATTGCCTTTTTCTAAGTTCACCAACAAGCAAGCTAGATGGTTTATAATGGAATAAAGGCCATTGCCTTTTTCTGAGTTCACCATCAAGCAAGCTAGATGGTTTATAATGGAACAAAGGCCACCAGCCTTGCTGTTGTTTTAAAGCATTTTCTGAAGTTTACCATGTTAAAGTCAGTGGTTTCCGTCAACTAAGGTTGAAGTTGTTTCTTATGAGGGAATAATTAGATATGATCTGTGGAATATTTACTGCAGATAATGAAGTTTATAATGTTCTTATGCTGTATCCCCATGAAGTTGTACTTGTTATTACGTTGTTTTAAATTTAAATGCATTGTTTTGTATCTTTTATCTTTTTGTTGTCCTCTTTTCTCTCTGATACCTACTTTCATTAAATTTATTGTTTTAAATTCAAATGCATTGTTTTGTATCTTTTATCTTTTTGTTGTCCTCTTTTCTCTCTGATACCTACTTTCATTAAATTTATTGTTTTAAATTCAAATGCATTGTTTTGTATCTTTTATCTTTTTGTTGTCCTCTTTTCTCTCTGATACCTACTTTCATTAAATTTATAGAACTACTCGCACGCCCATTTATACTCTTCACTGCAAGTGTCTGAAGGGCTATAGGGTGGCATAAAATGATTTTGTAGTCCTGCATTAAATTCTTGCAGTCTTTTTTATTTTTAAGAAAATTTTTAACTGTGAAATTAGAGGAGGAATATCTTTTTGGCTTTGTTGCTTGCATTGAATGATATAATTCAATATCTGGGGCGGTATTAACTATGCTGCTTGACATCGCTGCAGATTGAAATAGTGTCATGAAGATAGGTAGTTGGTTTTTTTATTGGGGATACCAAGATACCAACTGTGGTTGGTGGTTATGGGTGCACCTAATTGATGACTCTCAGAAACATCTTGTTTTTAAAATTTAGCAAATTACAAAAATAGTCAAAACTTTTCTTTATATGCTACTGAGAAATAATTTCAGTTACCAAAGTAGTTCATCTGTAAAAATTTCTTTGGGGTTGTTCTTTAATTATACAAATTTAAAGTTGGTTGAGTTATGTTCTACATGGAGAGGGGGAGAATGCTTTAATATTTGTTTTTCAAGGAATTGTTTTTAAACAATTTTGAAGAGGAAAAATGGGAAGTTGTGGGCGAACATGTTTAAAATAATTTCTTTTTTGGGTACGAGGAAATGGACTACAGTATTTTGAAATGACAATTACGGATTGATTTGTGGCGCGTGTGATTTTTGTTAGGTAATTATTATTTTAACTACTGGAATTAATTCTGAGATTAATTGGTCTGACTTATCATGTTTTTAAGAAAAGCTTTATAATCATTAAGAGATTTGGTTCTTCCAAATATTTATCTATCAAAGTAGAAGAAATAAGAAAATAAAACAAAATCTAATATATGTAATGAGTGATTAGGGGTGTTTAAATGAGTTAATCTAATTCATTTAAAGTTTGACTTCCGAAGCTTGTTTTTTTAATGGATTGGATAATTTTAATTTGTGAAATAAATCATTTTTTCCCTTAGTATTTGACACTTAAAATTCATAGTTAAATGGACTAATTTGCATGTCTAACAACAATATTGTAAAAATATTATTTTATTTTTTGCTAGGTAAATATGAAGGAGCAATATATAATATTATATAAAATATAAATATCAAACAATCTAAAATCAAAATAAATATGAAAGTCTCATTTTTGGAGAAAAATTTGAAAAGTCATAACATATAAAAGTTTATACATTTAAACTAAAGTATTAAAATATTAATATATCAAACTTACATATTTAGTATTAATGTAAAAAAAGTATAATATTTTTTAAATTGAAAATATACTAAATTTAATATTTGTTATTTATACTTAATTATTAACGTAATGTTAAAATTACTCATTTTAAAAATTCACACAGAAAATTGCAATAATAATAATAATAATTATCTAGTAGTAAATGAGCCAACACGTGGGTTTCATGAGTTAAAGCCAGTAAAATCTGCAGACAATAATAATAATCATCGTAGATTGGCTCAATTATTGTGTTTTTAAAAAAATTAGGCCTATTAACCGTAGGGGTTTGGCGGGTCAGTTCATCACCCCTACAAGTAATGAAATATAATAAAGGAAAATGGAAAGAAATAATATTTCTTTTGGATATATTTTTGAAGTTAGATATTAAATGTTAAAGGAATGAGAAAGCAAATTGCTAATCTGAATTAGAATATTTGGTAAATATAATTTACTTTAAATTGATGTTAAATAAATTTTAGTTTAAATATATTTTAACCCTTAAATTTAAAATTAATTTTTTATTCTTTATAATTTTAAAAAGTTTTGTTTTAGTTCATATTCAAATTTTGTTAAGAACTTTGTCAAATACTATCATATAAAATCTATCTATTAGTGTTCTTTTTAATAAAAATAATATCATATTAAATCCAACTGTTGTATAATTATCTTAATCTTTCACTTTTAAATATAGTGACTCGAGGATTAAAAAAATATTTTTAAAAATTATAGGAATTAAAAATAATTTTAAATTTGAAGAACTATAAATATATTTATCTTAAACTTGGAGGATTAAAAACATATTTAAATCTAAATTTTAATATGAAAACAATTAATAAATATAATTAGAATGATTGTGAAAATAATTCTTATATAAAAAATATTAACAACCCTTAAATTAAAATAAAGGGTTTAAATTAAAATATTGCAATATACTGTCATCATTATTGTTGTTTCTATAATTATTATTATTAGTATTATCATTGAAACCATCTCCATCATCACCACTATTACTACTACATAATCATTATACGATATTGCCATCACTGATTTTAATTAAAATTTTATGGACTTGATTATATGACTAATTTGTTTTTAAAATTATCTTTAGGATATAATATATGTCAACACATTGATGTTTGAATTAAGTATGATATATTTTTGGAAATTTTGAAAGCATGTATTTTGATGTTTTAAAAGTATATACATGATAGTTTATTCATTATTTTTTGATCAAAATTAACTACACCACCTAATTAACGTATTTTATTTTAAAGATACTCATTTTACTCACATTTTTTCGTATGACTCTCTCCATCTTATTGTTACAACTTATACAAATATTTAAAAATAGAAAATAAAATAAAAAAAACTAGAAACTAGAAATAACTAATATTTCTTTTTAAATTTAATATATTAGTAATTCCATGTCGACTATATATAAGATCATAATAATGTATATAAATGAAGAATAATTTTTACCTTACCAATTGATTATATAATGTTGAATTAAGCCTTAATCCGCCTAATTAAGATGATATTCATGTATATCAAAATATATTATAGTCTATTCTAGTGATTATTGATTATTATTAAATTTATTGTGTCACTCACTATCGGACCATTCGTAGATGTTCAATCTTGCAAATTCCATGTTTGAGATGTTCAGTCTTTGACACAAGGGGTGCCATTGATTAGAGATAAAGTCATAATAAAGATACAATAAGTACATAGAGGGGGATGGGGTTGAATGTATGAGTAAGTTTTAAAGCTTTTTGACAAAGTATAACTTTAAAAATGTGTTTTCATCCAAAACAAGTGTAGGAAAAGGATAAAAAAAAACTTGATATTTTTATATTGATTCAATCAACCTAAGCTACATTCATTTATCTTTGAACTTGAAGGATTCCACTAACTTGAAAATTTTTACAAGTATTTTTTCATTGCCACTTTCACTAGCCTTTTTTGGGTTTAAAAGGTTTGCAGTAAAGATTATTACAACATAACTCTCATAAAAAGAATATTGAAGTTTAGTACACTCCAGATGATAAATTGCAAATGTAAGGATGTTATAACTTAGAGTTATCTTTCGTCTATTGGACGAATGTAACAAAACTAAGAGGAAAATATCATAGTTTTGACACAATGAAAAAGGAGTTTATATTCATAAGGTTCAAAAGATTCTTCTCTTTTAGTCTTCTTGTATTTATAGGCTTCTTGAAAAAATACCAATTGTGCTGTGAGGGCCTTGCTTGAAGACCATTCACTTTTGGTGTTAAACGAATGTTGAATATGGGCATTTGATCAATGCACTACGAGGTTCAAAGTATTATAGTCTTTAGCTAGAATGTGTGAGACCCATGGCTTGTTTCCTCATTTCTCCCTCTCAACTCTCAAACTCTCACTCTCTTCTTCTCACTTTGTTGATTCACTCTCGTTGCTTGGATTTCTAGGTGCTGAGTATCTGGTGTTCTTGTTGAGATTTCTCCTCCTCCGCTCTGCATTCATCACGCTTCTTCTCTATTTCCTTTCCGTTCAAGCTTGTCTTCTTCCCGGAGCTCGGATTCTTCATCGAGGTAAGGGAAGTTAGTTTTTGTTGTGTTGATTGTTGGGAGTGAGCTAGAAACTCACATGATGGCTGATTGTTGCGGATTGATGGCTGAGATTGACGAAAATGGATTTTTTTTGGGTTTCGAGATTTGGATGAAAATTTGGGTTTTTGATGAATTAAGGTTGCATGACGAAAAATATGGTATTTTTGAACTCTTTGACGAAAATGTGGTATTTTGGCTGGTTTGCATGTACTTGGGGAGTTGATTTTGTGCAGGTTTTGATGAAATCTTTGAAGTTTGAGGGTTGCTACTGGGTATCACGCCGAACACAGTTCTTCGTGTCGGGCGCGTGACACTAGAGGGCCCCATTGGGCAAGCCTGTCGGGCGTAATGGTGAGTGCGCTGGGCGAGCTTGAGAGTGTGAGCCTCTGGATGGCCCACGCCGGGCGTGGCTTGGACCGCGCCGGACGCGATATCAGTGTGTATAATGTTTTTGGGATTTTTGGTGCTGCACCGGGCGCGACTATGTTGCGCTGGGCGTGGGGACTCCTAGAGAGTCTCTACCAGGGAGGCGCCGGGTGCAATGGTATTGCACCAGGCATGAGACCTTGGAGGTCTCTTCCTTCCCCGCGCTGAGCGTGGGTTTGGGCACGCTGGGCGCATGAGACTCCACAAAGTCTCTACCTGGGTGTGCGCTGGAAGTAATTGGTTTTGCGCCGGGCGCGTTTGAGCCATGAGCTCTCTAGTTGGACTACGCCGGACGTGAGTACTTTTGCGTCGGGCGCGCTGGTCCCTAGTGCCCTCTGGTTGTGCCACGCCAGGTGCGACCATGAGTGCGCCGGGTGTGAAGGTTACTTATGTGATGTTAAATGATGATTAAGGTTGAATTATGCTGAAATTGCTGATAGATGTTGTTATATGCTGAGCTGAACTGTAAATGATGAATAGTGTTGTGCTGTTAGATGATAATGCTAAATTATAATATTACTGTGCTG